AGCGTGTACCATGTGCACTCACACCAGACGGAGGGATGCAGTAGTGATCGGAGAGGTATTAGTCGTTGGACATGTCCTCCATATAGGGTATCCCAAAGGAATGTATATACAACTTGGAATAATTATAAAGCCAGTGTTTGTTAAAGTACATTTCATTTTCAAAATGTAATAGAATCTACCAGCACCCTGTATACATTTTGGAGGGATGCCCTATATACGAGCTCATCCCATCTTCATGGCAACCCTGGAACTCCAGGACGGATGTGGTCCTCACCTTACAAACGAGAAAACTAGAGCACAGAGATTAAGAAAGTGTTCAGCCCTGGCTGGTTTGGCTCAGCGGTTAGAGTGTCGGCTCGCAGATCAGAGAGACCCGGGTTCGGTTCCCACTAAGGGCACGTACCTCAGTTGCAGTTTGTTCCCGGCCCCTGTTGGGGTTGTGAGGGTGGCAGTCAGTTAATGTTTCTCTCTCTCTTTCCCTCCCGCTCTATCTGAAGATAAATGCAAAAATGTCCTCGGGTGAGGATTAAAAAAAAGAAAGTGTTCAAGGTCACAACACAAGTAGTCGAGCTGTAATTCAAACCTTGGCTGAGTTTCTCTTAGTGTGCACGTTTGACATTACCATGTAGGAACTCGGGGACCTACCAGACAGTGCGTTCTCCAGTCTTTCCCCTTAGTCCACTGTTCTCAATCTGGGGATGTGGCTCTAAGTGATGTTCTTGGTCCCCAAATTTCAAGTAAACACATTTGTAGAAATATCACATTAACTTCCAAGTTTCAATAGGATTTGGCAACACTGTTGCATTATCATGAAGCAAAGTGGGAGGGTTTGCATCCCCATGTCATTACTTCCTAGGGGAACAGGACCCTGAGCAAAAGCAGTGCCCAGGAAGACCCCGCAAGGGACAGCTGGGGCCTCCACCTGGAGGTCCACCAGCCACAACACTGAACATCGTAGCTAATGCACCACAGATGACCACCGAGCACACTCTGTTAGAGAGCCACGTTAAAAGACGCTATGTTAAAGAGCCTTGTTGAAAAACACTGTTAAAAAGCAATGTCGACTCTTAGCCATAAACCGGTTCCTAGCTGTTGGGATCTCTCCCCACCCACTGCTAGTAAACTACACGACTGAAAGCAATCATGTGCCATGTGCGTCGGGTACAGTTTCAAAGGGCTTGCCTAAAAATCAAATCTGTAAACTGAGACCAGGGACTGCAGCTTATTCTCTGGTCATTTTCTAGGACTATTTTAAGCTTATAATAGATGTTCAATAAATCCTTAAAAGATCAAAAAAGTTAACTAGGATGTTTATTAGACACAGCCTCAACTCAGTAAAAATTGGATTTTATTGACGTTTCCTACACATAACATATGTATTCCTTTTCTCTTATTTTTAAGAAGCCTTTAACATCTCCTTTTATTGATATGAGACCAATAAAGGCAAACTAAATACACCTTTCGTTAAACTACATGGCTGGGGGTGGGGGTGGGGGTGGGGTAGTCAGCTTATGGGAAAAGCTTTAATAGCCAGGAGAGGAGTGATGCACAATAACTTTATATACTTGGTTTGGCTACAATAACCTCAGCCAAGTCCCACACCAACTCTGAGCCTTAGCGGGAGAGTATGCCCTGTCAGATGGCAATGCTAAGTGAGCACGGATGCTTGTTAAGCTGTCATTGGCATTCATTCAACAGTGTTTATTAATTTTGGTCATCGGCACAATGCACACTGGGGTAGTCTCTAGAGACAGAGATCCTGTGATTAAGATAAAACCCTACAAAGCAAGGAAACCTATACATGTATGAACCAATTTTGTGTGTAATAGGATAATAGAGAGTCCACTGTTGAAGACAGATCCCAAGGGCTATGGTAATTCAGAAAAACCCCTCTGGTCATAGTGGATGCTGGGAGTTTCCTATTAAACTGTCTTTTTAAATTCATAGTCATCTGAATTTATAATCTTCCTTACTTAGATCCCAGGATCTGGAAAGTTCAGCCTCATCTGTAGGGATGAGGACAGGGCCCAGGCTCTGAAGTCAGACCAACCTGGGTTTGACTTTGTGTCTCTGCACAAGTTAATTTAATCCCTCTGGGTAAATTTACTTACTCCCTCTGGGTTTGGGTTCCCTCCTCTGTAAAACTGAGAATGCAAATGCTACAGTGTGGCTTTGAGGACCAGTGATAACGTATGTGAAGTGCACAGCACAGTGCTGAATACACAGTCCTCAAACTGCCGTTACTGAACACTAGCCTTTGTCAAGTGGAGAGGTGCTGCCCAGGGAAACGGGGTAGAAATGCATGAGGGGAAGGGGCAGAACAGATGATTCTCAACCCATCTTTTCATCTCCATATCCTTTTAGGGAGGAGATCAGATTTACTGCATCTACCATACTCAATTTTGTATGAAACCCAACCTCCATATCAATGGTGATTTCTTAAGTCATTTAAAAAAATCATTTTGAGCAAGTTCAGGAAGTTCTCTCTCTTGTGCTAAAGCTGTTCCCCAAGTCACCTGGTAAGGAGTGAGACTCACATGGTCAGAGAGCATCCCCGAGGCAGTAGCTTGTTGCAGTACTAACAGCTTAATCAGGGGGTCGTCTAAGAGCTGAAGAGTGGACTTCCTGGAAGGCTGGTTCTCAGTCTGGTTTAAGGTGAATGTGGTCTGTCTGCAGAGCCCCACCCCCCACCCGTCTCCTCTGAGGACCTGGCTAAGTGGGTTTGCACCATGACCCGAGCTGAAGACCCTGGTTTCTACAGCAGAAGCTTCCCCAGCTTTAATGCATATCTCAGTAACCTGCAAGTTCTGGTTCCGGAGGTCCAGAACTAACAAACTTCCAGGTGATGCCCACAGCCGAATAAGCACGATGTCTCCAGGGCCAGGACAACCAGAATTCACAACCAAGGTGCACACAGTATTCCTCCATTCCTAGGATTCAAAAGCCAAATGGGGCCACTGCCAACCAACTGTGTCTTTATGAATTTGCAAACTTCTGGTGGGGTGTACTGATTGGCCGGATGAGAGAGCCTTCAGGAGTCCTAGAAATGTTCTGAATTGTCCCTGAGTGGGGGTTGCATGGTGTATACATATGTAACTGAAGAGTTTAGATGTGTGTCCCTAATGTTACGTTACTTATAACTCAATTTTGAAAAATATCTAAAAGAGAAAATAAAGGAATGAGAATGCAAAGAAAAAAGTACTAAATTATGAAAGTAGTGTCAAACTAATAGAATACACATAGACGTTCGACTCCCATAAAAGGAGTCACTTAAATCCAAACAACAATATTCACGGGCATCATCTTCTCCAGCTGCAAACACGCCCTCCCATTCCTCTTAATGAAAACACATCAAGACACTGCGAGTGTCTCGAGGGTCTAGGTGTGAAAGAAACTCCGCTGTTTTAAAAATCTGGGGAGAAAAAAAACAAACAAGCCCGACAGTAACAGCCTGGCAAAGTGACCGCAGGACACGACGCTCCTCAGGCTCCCGAAGATTAGACATGCATTCTGTAACTGGCGCTGATCTGTGTGCAGCCTGACCTTCGGGGACCGAACAAATGAGCAAACCATCTCAGGGACACTTTCCATGTTAAATTAGAGGCTTTGTACTGTGGTGCTAGGAAAACAACGTGTCGGAAAGAATACTGTGGTGGTGTGGATGAAACGCAGCACGCAGTCGGGTGCCAGCACCGCCAGGTCATGCCACCAGCTCGGTGACCTGGTTTACCCAGTGAAACTCTTCCAGTCTTTACCTGCCATCTGAACACACTTCCCTCCTCCTCCTCTAACCATCACGTTTGTTCAGCGTTCACCACCCATATCCGGAGAAGGCAGCCCTTCCAAAGGCTGTCATTCCACTGCCCAGAACAGACTTCAAAGCACAGCACATGATGTAACTAATGGCACCTTTGTACCGCTCACCTGACAGCCCTGAAACCACGTCCACCTGAGCCCATGAAATAACATTTCTTGCAGCTGGAAGCATTAGAGTTGTTTCATCGGCTATAACATTATAAATGGTCAAAGTTCCTTGTCATTCCTCGGGGGGTTGCAGTATTACCTAGTACCATCCAATATTTATTCTGTCCATCCAAACGGTGTATGGTTTACAGAGACTGAGTCTGGTGTGACGGGGGGATCCCCGTATCTTCCACAGCACCTTTCAGAAGCAGACAACCAATACAGCTTGTGGGTGCATGCCCCCTCCATACAGTGCTAGGACCGGACAACAGCCAAGAATACCTACAAGGGTGAAAAACACAACCCTCACCTCCAAAAGGCTGCAAGCAGGGAACAGTGCCTCCCCCTTCTTTTGTTGAGAAGGAGCCAACTGGGGAGCCTTTTCCAAACTACAGATTCCCTGGCTCTACCCAGGCTTAGTTTTAACAAGCACCCAGGTGATCTGTGGGCCGTATTTTAGGAAAGTCTGTCCCTCTTCTTGTGGTTCAACAATCTCTACGTTTTTTGTGGTTGTTTTTCCCCACTCAACACAACCTATCAACCGCCGGCGATCTTCGCCCCTCCCTCTGCCCACAGAGGCCTGGCCAGTATGTATTACACTCTGTCCCGGCAGAAGGTCACAAGGCAGCTGAGGGCCAAGTATTTACTTGTTGACTTTGTGTTTTCAAAACAAAATACAGTCATTCGCCTTTGCCTCACTGTTTACACCCACAATCCAATCCACTTTCTTTAACGTTCAACCTCTCCTCCAACCTCCACCACGCAAGTATTCCGGAGACCAGTAAACAGCCGCACGACCTCAGGGCACAGACTAGGTGCTGGCGCTCGGGTGCCGCCGTTGCCCTGGCCCAGGAAACACACACAAAGGTTTGCCCCATGGAGAACGCACCCAGCGCGTCCCAGCACCACCGTGGCGCGCTGGCCCCCGGGCCCCCCGGTCCCCCAGGCCCCCAGCGCACCTCCAACCCCTCCTCTGCGGCGCCGCCTTCCCACCGGCCAGGGTGCACAGAGGCGACTCGGCAGAGCCCGAGGCTTACCTGAAACACGTGGTGAGCTCGCCCGAAGCCTTCAGACACGGGTATTTGGTCGTAGCGATTTTGTTTTCCGAGCAGACTTCTCTACGAAAAAGAGAGAGGACAAGTGTTGGTCCTCCGCGTGGGAGCGCAGGCCGGTGCGCGCTGGGGGTCCGTGTCCCCGCGCGCCGAGCAGGCACTGGTGCCAGAGCGCGCACGCCCCGCGGACCCCAGGGTCCGGGCCGGGCGAGGGTCCCACGGAGCGAACCCAGCCCCAGGGGGACCAGGAGCTCAAGAAGCGAATCACAGGAGAACGCAGGGATGCGGGGCAGGGACATCACGGATGGGGGACGCCCAGGCTGAGGGCGCGTAGACTGTCACCCGGAGACAGAGCTTAGTATCGCCCGGGACAGCTGAGAGCCTCGCCCGGGACGCCGCGAGGGCGTGCGGATGGCTGCGGAGGTGGGGAACGCCGCCTGCACCCCGAGCGCGGGCGTGCAGCAAGCGGGGGCCGGCAGCGCTTACCTGTCGCTGTTCTCAGGCTCCTCGCGGTAGCTCCACGTGTCTCCCAACGCTAGGAGCAGGAGCAGCGGACCCAGGCTCTTGCCCAGCTGTCCCCTTGCCGCTCCTCCCCGGCTCGGAGGCGGCGGCACCATCAGGGACGCTCCCGGCTTCTTCCCGGCGCCGGAGCCCTCTCCCTGCCCTGCGCCCTGCGCCCCGCTCCGCCGCGGCCGCCGGCGTCCCTCTGCCCGGCAGGGGGCACCAGAGAGCGGGGGCGTTTGCGCCACCTGCGCAAGGCACGGGGCCCCGGGCGCTGTGTGGGGCTGGGGCCCAGGCTAGGAGTTGGGGTGCAGAGTGCAACTCCTTAGGTCTGCAGGTGATCGCGGCGCCCGAGGTGCGTGGCTGGCGCGAGGGTCGTGGGGTCCCGGTCGTCTCGCCTGGGCTGGTCACGCTGAGTTACCAGACTTGCTGGGCTCGGCGTTGGGCCGCGCCCTCCCTCTTGTCTCTTCCTGGGCTCAGGGAGGAGGGCAGGGTGCGGGAAGCAAGCGGCTGCTCGCATTTTACACCAAGGTCTCCGACCCAGAGGAGGAGGAGTAGGAGGAGGAGGAGGAGCCGCTTCTCCCCTGGGGCAAAGGGAAGGGGGTGGCAGAGAGGTTAATAGGCTTCCTTCCTGTCGTCAGTTGATTTTAATGACCAGGATCAGGACGTCTGCTGTCCCGCCTCGAGCGCCTGCCCTGGGCTTTCCCGCTGCCCAGTTTTCTCTGAACGGAGGAAGGTGTGCAGAGAGGACAGCGGCGCGCCCGACTTGCCTTTCAAACCCGACCCTCCCGATCCTCCCGACCCTCCTCTGTCCGCATTACAGTCCCGTAGAAGAAAGTCCCCAGGTCGCTCAAAGGCTAGCAGAGCCGCTAGTTTCCTCCTGACTCGAGATCGAGATAATGAGCTCTCAGAGGCTCGTTCTGGGGTGTTTAAAGCCTCTTGCCCTGAGCTGCTTTAATGCTGTTTGAGTGTCACGCACAGACGTGAGAGCTGGAAGCCCCTGGAAGATCAGGTGAGAGGCTGAGGCGCCCCCACCCAGTGAACACGCGGTGTTTATAGGTAGCCGGGAAACCAAGCCGGGCGTCCATCAGCTCATGTGGTGGGAACTCGGTTGTAATCCGTAGCCGTCCGCATTTTAACACTTTATTGCACACTGGGAGTCCCTGTGTCTGATAGAGGGAGCCTGGTTATATAAACGTGCCCTGCAGAGCCAAGCAAGTGGTCTGGCCCAGAGATCGGAAGAGCACGAGGCTGTGATGCCTAACCTCCACCAACGCTCCGTCCTGCACCCCCAGGGCCAGGAGATGAAAGGTAGCTCATTCCCGGGGGTGGGGGGGATGATGCAGATGAGCTAACTGGTTAGGTAGGCAGGTGTTTTGATTCAAAACATTCTGATCAATTGAGAATTACCGTGCCTGTCACATACACCTTGACTGACATCCTCCTTCCTCTGTAGATTGCTTCTATATTTTCCAGGTTTTTTCCCCCCACATTTATGATTTTATTTGATACTTATAAGAGTCCTTAAAGCTCAGAGTCTGATTTCTTGGTTCAGCGAGGTATTCCCGCCCCCCATCCCCTGTAAATCTTACCTAGACATAGAAGACCATAAAACACAAATATTAAAATATGGTGCTACACAGAATAAGTGAATTTTCACGTGATAATTCAGAAGATACTTCAGATGCTTATAAAACCTGAGTGACTGTTATGGAGTCAGAAAAGAGAACACACCCTAGATTCAAACCCAGGCGATCCTGGGTGTGTGAACGTGGGCACGTCACTTTGAACCTTTCTGAAACTCCGTCTTCTCATCTGTAAACTGGGGAAACCTCCCTCCAAAATGTTTGTGAGATTAAATGAGGTAATGCATAGAAAGCATTTTACACAGTGCTAGGCATATCTTGAGTGCTCGTTAACTATTGTTATTTTAAATATAAATTGTTGCACAGAATTAACTTTTAAGCTTTCCCTTTCTGGATATATAGGAGTTTATTTCACAACAGTTGTTTGGGTTCCTAAAGAGATAGATACTTCTCTAAGCAAATGAAAAATAAACCTATGCTGGCGTATCACTTCAGACTGACCCACAAGAGTGTTTAATCTTCTCCTTGCAGGGAAGAGGCCCTCCTGTAACAGGTCCTGTTTGTATTTTCTTACCAATCACTCTATTTTGATATCTTGCTATCTTTTTTCTCATCTTTACTCCTTTTTCTCCTGCTGCACTGTGGATGTTGATTCTGTAAGTAAGAGAGAAGTGGTGTCAGAGATTAGTTATCAGCTTCATTAAATGGTTAATAAGCCACATATGGGGACGTGCCGCCTTGCAGAGAAAGTCATTCCGGCTGCAAATGATAAAAGCAAACGTGGGTCCATTGTGCACAGCTGCCTGGCAGAAGACTGGGGACACAGCCAACTTTGCTGTCTCCTTATTTTCAGCCCCCTACACTGAACACAGATCAGAATGGGGTGTCAGAGAAGGTGCGGGGCTAAGCAAACAGCCCAAGTTTGCCAGGGGAGGCAATCCCGAGGGTGGGTGGTCAGAGCGTTTACGAAAGAGGTGAGCTGGAGCAGAGACCTCTTGAAAACCTTTGCCTGGAGGCCTGAAACTTAAACTAATTGGCAGCTATGACAGCATGACATTCAGCCTAGGTCTTGAGGGCCGGCTGGAGAGCAAAGCCAAGCAGAAGGAGACGCGGCTGGCCATGTATGGATACCAGTCCCCTGGGAAGATAAACACTCCTATAAAAGACAAAACTGCCTCTGCTCAGGCTGCAGCCTGTGTGGGACATGTCAGAATGAGGCTCTGTGTATAGGGACCTCCAGGGTTTTAGCCTTGCTCCCCTGATCCCCTAACTCGCTTTCAAACCACAAACAAGCTCCTCCTCCCCAGCTGGCCCCCAGTGATCTGCCCTGTTTCCTTGTTACTGAATAGAAAGTTCATTCTCTCGGAACCAGCAGAGCCAAGGCTCAACACCGAGAACTGTAGTGAATAGTGGATGTTTTGTTATGAATGGTGCCCTACAGGGGAGCAGAAAGCGAATGCTCACAGCCTGAACTCCCCCATGGCATGTAGCTTACAGATTATGTGGGACGAAATCACAAGATTCTGTGGGTTAGGGCTCCGGGTCGTGCTGGTCCGTCCGAGGTGAGGTAAGGGTGCTGAATCATTTCTTCACGTCTTGAGGGCAGCTCTGAGGTCCTTTCCAGCGTCGCTCTGTCTGGTGTCGTGGACAAGTAGCCAGGGGTTGGTCCACCTGAGGGCTCAGGGGCTGAAACATAACTTATGTCAAGATGTTATCCGGAGTCTCCCAGAAGTGATGGCTACCATCTCCTGCGGCCCCGGGGGGAGGCTAGATCCCTGAGGGACATAGAGAGACAGAGGTTTCTAGAACTGGGGTTTAAACCAGAATTTGATCAGAGTCATAAAGACCCTCGATTTCACCCCCACTAGGAAACACTGGGTGAGCAGACTCACCTCCTGCTCTGCCATCGGGGTGTTACAAAGATTAATGATACGGACTAAATGCTCCTCGGGGAGACTCTGTATGATTATTTCTTTTCGGCATACCACTTTCGGCGCTGTTTTCCACACAGCCTGTCAGCGCCCCTGAAACAAACCAGAGAGTGGATGGTTATACATTTACCACGTCCTGTGCGGCGGGGCTGCGTCCAAGCCTTCGGGGCACGGACTGCGCTGGGTTAGACTCCCTGGTGGCGCAGGTATTGTTAGAGACCAGTGTTGTCTGGGGGCAGTGGAGTGGAGATGGGGAGCTGGCTGCTGAATGCAGAGGCCAGCATACAAAATCCAAGAGAAAGGAAAAAAGGAAAGACAAGGTAGGCCAGAGAGGAGAGAGTATCCTCTTCCACTCTTTTTTTTTTTTTTTTTCAGTTTTTATGTACTTTTTAATTGAGGCAGAATTAACATACAGCATTGGTTTCAGGTGTACAGCATAATGATTCACCATATGTATATTCTGTGAAATGATCGCCACAGTAAGTCTAGTTAGCATTCATGACACGTGGTTACAATTGTTGTGTGTGTGATGAGAACTTTTAAGATCCACTTTCTTAGCAATTTTCAAATATACGACACTGTATTATAGTCACCATGCTGTAGATTACATTCCCGGGACTTACTTATTTTATAAGTGGACATTTGTATCTTTGTATCTTCACCCATTTTGCCCACTCATTTTTTTTTTTAATCCTCACTCGAGGACATTTTTGCATTTATCTTCAGATAGAGCAGGAAGGAGGGAGGGGAAGAGACGGGGAGAAACATCGATGTGAGAGAGACACATAGACTGGTTGCCACCCACATGACCCCAACCAGGGCCAGGAACGAACTGCAACCGAGGCACATTCCCTTAGCCGACACCGAACCCGGGACTCTCTGGTCCGCGGGCTGACACTCTAACCGCTGAGCCAAACTGGCCAGGGCTGCCCACTCATTTTTAAGAGACTCCAGCATCTCATTTGGAGACAATCAACATCATATTAGAAAGAAGAACTCAATAAAAAGATAAAATGCCTCTAAAGAAAAACACACCACCCGTTGAGGGCACAAATCATTTCGCTATTATTTGTTTGCTTAAAGTTTTCCTAATTAAAAAGCGTTCTGGTGGCTGACGAAAATATATACTATTTTATAGGATGCATATTTACATAGAGCAAGATTGAAGAAAGCAAAGGAACACAGTCAGGGTTGGGGAATAGAAGGGCGCTGGAGGGAAGCCCGTTGGCAGGACTGTGGGAGACCATCTGCATGGCATCCATCTTGTTAGGGTCTGCTCTGCTGTCTCCGGCCCCAGTGCGGGGTCTCTCTGCATACAGTGTCTGCATTCCTCTAGATAATTGTTTACTCCATTCTTTGCTTATCATTTGTTCCACCTGGGGTATTGACTGGAATTTGCTTCAGGTGGGATACTCATTAACTGTTTCACCTGTTTTCCCCTATATATTATGTGAACGCCCCCTGAATAAGAGAGACTTGATCAGAATCCTGTCTTGTCTCCATTTCTCGTGTCTCTTGTCCCTCCTCATCCGCACTCCCCCTCTAGAGTCCTCCTTGATTGACCTGCGGGCCGGATCACAGGACTGTATACGCAGAAAG